AAGAACCTGTTAAGCACCTGTATGGTTCTTCAGCGGTTCTTTGGAGTTGATGAGGTGCTATATAGCACTACCACCATAATACCTGTAAGCCCCTGTATAGTTCTTTAAAGGTTCTTTAATTCTCTCTTAGTCTCTTAGTTTAGTTGGGGAAAGGGTTAAAACAACATTAAAATACAGTCTATTTCTTGAAGATATAATTTTTTTTTGCCCCCAAGGCCCCCATAATGAAATATTTCAGGGCCCCCACATGAGACCTTTGACCTCAGAAAAAAAGGACCTCTCCACAATCAGCAACACCAACTTCACACATTACTAACCAGTTAGACTTTATTTCTGGAGTATCTAAAACAGAAGTTCTTTATTGAGAATTCAGTTTTTTCTTTTTTTCAACTTACCATTTTGGTGAATAGCGTTTGCTTTAGTTGCCTCTTGACCCTTGACTTTAACTTTAAGTTAAAATAAGTTTCTCACGATTAAAACTAATTTAGTACTATAACATACAGGGTCCTGCAAGAAAAAGACAAGACCCGCAAATCCGTCGCCACAGAACAGCAGAATATGAACGCAATGCCCAAAGTCTCTCGTTAAGCGTTTTCCTCCTGTAGAAAACATAAACACTTAACATGGCATAATGTATTAAGATACATTAAGTTCAATTAAAAGATCAAATTCGATATATAGTTATTATTGAATGTATCGTCTTCACCACCTGGCTACTGTTGTAAAATGTTGAGAGATTCAAACAAAAAGTGATAAAAAATAGAACAAAATAAAAAAAAAAGCCTGCAAGTGACGTCGCTAGCGGAAGCGCAAGTGTCTGAGAATGCACGTCTGAGAGTGCAAGTGCGAGGCTGCAGCCAGACCCTTCTCCACTAGTTGCTGAAACCACGCCCGTCTATAGTTACAGCAGTGCTGCAGTGCAAAGACAAAACACCATAACTTCGTTTTTGGTCGAAATGAGTTATTGATAATTTTGGGACATATGACTCCTTTTTCTTGTGTATAAGTATCTTGGAGAAGAGCCCAGGAGAAACCAAGGCAGAACAAAGTATCATTATTTACCGCTCTTTGACTTTGTTTTAGATCGCTCAAATTAAGTTATGGTGCTCTGCATCTGTTTAGCTGTTCGTCAATATTACTGTGCCAGCCTGGAGTTATACGGTATTCTGCCTCTGTTTTTACTGTACATTAAAGTCTGCCGGGTTTAAATTACGGTGTGACTTGTGTACTTTCATACATCTGTCGCTCTTTAGACAAACAAATTAGATAGATCGCGATCTAACAAACTGCTCCATATATCAAAGCATTGTAAACAAGCAACGACTAGATAACTTGGCAACAATAATTAATCGTAAATAATCTTTTTTTCTTTTTCTTTTTATAATGCAGATGCCAGCTCTCAGTCTAGGGCTGCCCACTTCTGCACGTGTGAGGAGTCGAATGCCATGACAGGGTATCACATAAAATCAGTTACTGTACGCAATTAAATCCGTTTCATACCTTTTCTTGTAACTCGATAAAAAACATTGCAATGAACGTCATCGGAGATGTTTAATTCACAATCATTCTGAGCATTATTCCTGCTGGCGTTCACATCAATCCACAAGTCGTTCTAAGGTTAAGCTATTTTCATTCAGTTCGATGTCAAAACAATAGGCTAAGTATGTCTTGCATCCTTTAATGTTAGCAAACATGGCAAATAAATTGGTTGCAAAACGGTATCCACTCACGTTTAACTTTTTGTCTGGTTGTTAAGGTCAGACTTTTTTTTATTACATTACTATATGTTATAGCCTAGCCAATGATCACTAGATTTTATATAGATGTTACTATAACGATTCTGTAAATGGTGATCAGCACCCTGTCACGGTCAACGTTTTGTTTATTTGTGGGTATTGTGTATATATTGATTTGGTTCATCTCTTTCTCCCGAGGTTGAGCTCCGCCCCCACACACCAGCAGCTTGAGCAAGGACGCTCTGGACTGAATATAAGGCGGAAGTTGCGCTTGTGTTGGTGTGCACTCTGTTCCAGCGCGTGTCCGCCACAGTCACTACCACGCTCTTTGAGCATGACTCGCACTTGTTGAGAAGCTGCTGCCGTCCCGCCACCATCCAGTGAGCTTCGTGGGTGTTTTGTTGCCCAGCCAGCCGCTGATAAGCGGTGCTCTTTTTCTCTCTCTCTCTCTCTCTTTCTGTGTTTATTTTTGTGCTTTCTTTAATGTTTCCATTGATCTGTGTTTTGTTTGTTTACTGGATACATATTGATTTATTTTGCTTTAGTTTAGTTGATCTAACTCTTTATTATATCCGCTGTTGGTTAATTAATGTGACTCGTAAGCCGTTTTGCCATTAATGGTTAAATTGATCTCCTGTCTTGCGCGTCCTTTTTATGTTGCTTAACCCCTTCCTGATCGAGTCTTGTAAAAGTGGGTTTCGTAACATAAACGGGGGCTTGTCCGGGATCACGATAACATAATGATTGTTGTGGGTTCCCGAGAATTCGTTCGTAATTCATTTGTTGCGGTGTGAGCGGATTTGATTCGTCCGACACATTCTCCGGTTAGTTAAGAGTAAGCCAGCGGGGCT